TTCCAGGACAGGCTCCAAAAGCCACAGAGAAACCCTGTCTCGAAAAACGACAAAAAAAAAAAAAAAAAAAAAAAAAGATAAAAGTGTCACTTCTAAGACACTGAAGGAAGGACCAGGGCTGTAGCTGAAGGGAAGCACACTTGTCTAAGATACTGAAGAAGACAGGTGCTGCCATCCCAAGTCAGCAAGATTTCTGAGTTCAGTAGATTCCATGGGAGCAGCTCCCTACCACCGACCACCAAGAGAGTAGAAATTTGGGGGTAACTGGATGTGCATCTTGAAGCATTATTTTGATGCCGGAATACAATGGGGCACACACAAAAACAAAGCTACATAAAGCATCCCAGTGAAAAACCATCTCAAGAAATATTAGCTTATGTCAGGCAAGATCTGTGGGCTCTGGGTAGGAGTAAGAAAGGGGTCTTTCTCAGCCCATATCATATTTTAGGGTGGTGTGGTGGTTGGATGGCATGGTGTTGATGGTATAGTAGTGAGCTCTGCTGCCTTCCAAAATATTTTAGCTTGCAAAAATTTCATTTCTGGGAAACAGAAATTGGCAGCTTGGAGCCTCAACTCGGATGCATATATGGAGATCCCAGGAATCCTTTCCACACTGGAGAGAGATGTTTGGTGGCTGAGCTCATCCTACTAGGAAAGCTGGTCACAAAGCTGCAGGAGCTTAACCCACACAGGGGACACCAGTGTGGCACTTGAGCCAGAGAGCTCCTTCAACCCTCTGGTGAAGCAGGTGCACTTGCTGCCACTACCATGCTACAGACAAACTGAGGTTTCCTGTGTAAGCCATGAGGAGCAGAGAAGGGTGTGGATTCAGAGTTTTGGCCTTGACTTTTAGCACACAGCTTCTGTCAGCATCCATCCATCCACTGTCTCCCAGAGACAGCTTCCCGTTTGGACCTTTACATGCAATGCCTGTTGCCCCAGCCAATGCCTATTGCCCCAGCCAATGCCCGTTGCCCCAGCCAATGCCTGCTGCCTCGACAGAAGTTTGTCAGGGTCATATATACTCCCTGAGGTACACAGTTTTTCCTCCTCATTTGTGGTAGATCCATAGGCATGAGTTTGCTAGGCAGAGAGACGGGGTCTCTTAGGGTTGTGGTGAAAGGTGCAGCCTTCTGAATCAAGCATGTAAATTGTTAGAATGGCATCTAAGAGCATCCAAGACCGCAGCCACTGGACCTTTGTGGCTGCCCAGGGTGGACAGTTTCAGGTCCCTATTGAGATATTCCGTGAGCATCTACTAAGTAAAGCTCAATATGAAAAAACAAGAGAGCCCCGTGGTGGTGATGCACGCCTTTAATCCCAGCACTCAGGAAGCAGAGGCAGGCAGATCTCTGTGTGTTCGAGGCCAGCCTGGTCTACAAGAGCTAGTTCCAGGACAGGAACCAAAGCTACAGAGAAACCCTGTCTCGAAAAACCAGAAAACAAAAACAAAACCAGAATCCAGCATATCAATAAAATAGTGAGGTAAGCTTCCCCTGTGTGTATTTAGTTTTTTAATGTGGCTATTGGGAAATTTAAGATTACCTTTGAAGTTTGTATCACATTTCTATTGGGCAGAGCTGGTCCGTGTCCTTCCAGAGACCTCTGCTAGTCCCCTAAGCCTATAGGGTCTTTTTACTCAAATGCTGTCTTCCCTGAAATTCTCTTCAAGGGAGAGGTGTTGAAAGCCACACCCCCCTTGGCAGGCTGGAGAGTTCTTTCCCCCCAAGAGAACAAAGCACAGATCAGGCCAACTCTCAACCATCCTGTCTTCTTTCAAGGGCCAAAGGAAAAGGGTCAGGAAGCCAAATGATCTGCAAAGGGATGTACTCCATGCATGCGAAGCCTACAAATGTAATCGTTTCACTTTAGTTTAATACTTTATTTTATATGTGTGAGTGTTTTGTCTGCATCTATGTATGTGCACTGCCTGTGTGCTTGAAGAAGTCGGAAGAAGGTGCCAGATGCCCCGGAACTGGAGTGAAGTCAGCTGGAAGACATCATGTGGGTGCTAGGAGTCAAACCCGGGTCCTCTGCAAGAGCAGCAAATGCGCTCAGCCACTGAACCATCCCTCTCCAGGCCTCCCACACATGTGACTTTTAAAATTTGGGGAGCCTCATAAAAGATGCCGAAAAGAAATGAAACTAATTTTGATAACAGATTTTGACATGCCCCCAAATTCTAGATATTATTATTTCACAGATAAGCAGCATAAAAGCAATTATTAATGACATATTTTGCACTCTTTTAAAAATATTAGATCATTGACATGTGATGTGTGCTACCTTAAACACGCATGTGCACACATACACACATAGAGACAAACACACACATTCACACATCACATGGTAGAGGGCAGCTGCCACATTGGATCAAGAAGGTCCAGAGCATGTGGAAGTCTTTAATGGGAGGACAACAGCGTCTGAGATTCATGGCTGTGAAGACTGGAATTGATCATCCTGTGCTGACTACAAGGGCCTAGGTCTGCAAAGAGTTTTGATGAGATGGCGGGGGGGGGGGGGCTAAATATTTCAATAGGTGAAATTATTCTACAACCTTAAATAACAGTAACAAGTGGTGTGATTATAATTATTCTTTTTTTCTTTTTCTTTCTTTTTTTAATTGTTTATTATGCATACAGTGTTCTGCCTGCACTTATACCTGCACACCAGAAGAGGACACCTGATTTTATTATAGGCTGTAAGCCACCCTATGGTTGCTGGGAATTGAACTCAGGGCCTCTGGAAAAGTAGTCAGTGCTCTTAACCCCTGAGCCATCTCTCTAGCTCCTCTTTTTCTTTCTATCTTTCTGGGTTTTTGAGACAGGGCCTCTCTGTGTAGCCTGAACTGCCCTGGAACTTGCCCTATAGACTAGGCTGGCCTCGAACTCACTGAGCTTTGCCTGCTTCTGCCTCCCGAGTGCTGGGATTAAAATCATGAGCTACCAATGTCCAGCAATTATAATTTTTCTTAAGATTTATTTTTACTTCTAATTATGTATATGTGGGGTGTTTTGAGTATGGTGTGTATGTATGAGTGCAGGTACGCTTGGAGGCCAGCAGAGGGGGTTAGAGCTCTTAGAGCTGGGTTTACAGGTGGTTGTGAGCCACACATGCCTCTCCAGGTTGTATTCTGGGAACAGAATTCAGGTTCTGTGTAAGAGCAGTAGGATGGGATGAGCCACCTCCCCAGCTCTCTCTTTTCTTTTTCTCATGCTTTACAGATGTGGTAGAAAAGAAACCATAATTTCTAATATTTACTTAGAAAATACAATTTTTAATTCTGACGTGATGAAAAACAATGAGCCGTGAACTATTTATGGGACTACTCTACGTCTGGCCCCGAGCTTGCCCAGGAAGACGATCACATGCCTCTGGATGCTGAGAAGGAAGGTGTTGATACTGGTTTTCGTGGGGCAGAAGAGATTTTCTGGCTACAGTTATTTTTCCTATACCTAAAGTTGGAATGCACGCAATACATGCCAGTGAGTGCCGCAGGCAAATGTTCACGGAAGATCTGTTTGGGCGGCTCAGACCACATGTGCTGGCCCAGAGTCATGGGAGTTGTCCTTGTGGGGCAGCAGAGGCAGCTGGGGGAAGTGTTGAGACTCGAAAAACAGGTGACCATGCATTCTTCCAGCATGTGAAAATATGAATCAAATAATTTGCAAAACACCCACAGCTGTTGGTAGGAGGCATAGCACAGGTACTAATTTAGACTCTTAAGACACACTCCCCCCCCCTCTCTCTCTTTCTCTCTCTCTCTCTCTCTCTCTCTCTCTC